GCTTCAGGACACATCTGATGGCCAGACATTCTCCTTCCGGATTTTCAGATAGTCAAACAGAATTTATAAACTCCATCAAATCTGGAAAATCCATCATACTACCACCACCACGACGTTTGAATTTTAGTATGATTTCATGAAGCGCGGTGTTAGTTTTATGCCAGATGTAACAGGACATACACCTTCCAAAAAGGTAAACTTTTGTCTCCGGAGACGACAGCAGTGTTGGGGTCATTACTAAATAAAATACTCGTTAGCAGCTCATCACATACATGAATAATCAAACTCCATATTATCCTAAAGACCTCATAGTACTGTGTTACCCCAACAGAGAACTTAACTCTCAGACTGTGGGCTTGCTTGTGGTTCCTAGAGTATTTAAAAGTAGTAGGGGAAGAAGAGCTTTCAGCTTTTAGGCTCCTTTTCTGTGAACCAGCTCCTAGTTTGACTCTATACTTCTAAGATTAGGCTTAAAACTTGCCTTTTTGATAAAGCATATAATTAGGATTAGATCAGGTGACCCTGAATCCTCTCTTAGTTATGCAACAACTTTAAAGGATCGATAGGAAAAAAAATGTCAACAGTTATTGATGTTGCTGTACCATGAATACCTTTTTTCTCTAATAGCTAAAAATTGTATTTAAGAAATTTATGTAGTTTGAGTCTGAACTAATATTTTCACAAAATGGGACATTTTCTCAACATCTGATAGGTTTTCTATTCGAATAAAACAGAACATTGTAAACATTTTCACAATTTTCAACATTTGCAAAGGATTGCATTTTTCTTTTATTTAAACAGCACCCCAACTTTTCTAGAACAAGGTCATATAAGCTCTCTGAAGAAAAGCAGAAAACAACCGATGTAGCTATAAATACTGGTCAATCTGCTGTATTTGGACATGTTTATGTATGGTGTACATGTTAACGTCACAGTGTTTGGTGTCTTAATTTATCATACACTACAACTGCTGCTGAGAGATTCCAGTATGGAGCAAAGAGGAGGGCAATTCCAGACTGAAAGACCAACCAAACACCATCACATCTACAGCCCAACCATTAACACTGGTAGAGACGGGGAAAAGTCCTTAAGGTAAATATTCAAAGGGAAAAAAAATCAGTTCATTATTGTTCCTGGAAACTGCTGATCAACATTGCAATCATTTATTGCAATAGAATAAATACAGCAAAAAATAACTGTGGCATGAATGCAAATGCCTTAAAAGTATAACACATTAAAAACAGTACATTTCATTAGATGGTGTTGTGTTTACTTTAAGTGAGAATATTATTGTTGCGTCACAACTTTGAGTTTTTTCTCATTTGATGCACTTCAATTCCTCCTTTTTTACTGAAAAACTGTCCTTCAGCCGTCTCACACGGCGTGTTCTTCTGCCGTGTCTGATGCAGGTAGCCATTATAGAAATCAGCTGCAGTGAGTCTTTTGTTCAGGAGCACTGATCTGAATCCCACCCAGCCATCCTGGAACACACATTAATATAAAACTTAGGGCAACAATCAACAGGACAAAGTGAAACAAAGAAAGCAGTACTACTGCTGCAACATTTCAGGAAGTTTAAGCTCAGGGGTCAAGGTCAAGGTCAAATTTATTTATATAGCACATTTCAAACAGCCGATGCGGCACAAAGTGCTTAACAATATAAAATGGTATTAAAAAGCAACAATGTAATACAATAATAACAATAAAAAAACAATAAAAGGACAGTAAAATTATTAAAACAATAACTAAACTAATTCAAATAAGACCAAAATGCTTGGGTCATAGTGTGTTAAAAGCCAGGGCATAAAAATGTATCTTTAGTAGTGATTTAAAATGCTCAAGTGTTTGTGCAGATCTAATATTTAAGGGGAGACTATTCCAAAGTCTGGGACCTGCCACAGAGAAGGATCTATCACCACGAGATTTGAGGTTAGTCCGTGGGATGGACAGCATTAGTTTTGAGCTAGACCTCGTGGTTTTTCGTGGAGTATAGGCAGAGAGGGGCTCAGACAGGTAAGGAGGGGCTCGGGCATTAAGTGACTTAAAAACAAAAAGTAGAAGTTTAAATTGGATCCTGTAGGAGACAGGAAGCCAGTGTAGAGAAGCTAAAACTGGGGTTATATGCTCTCTCCGCTTGGTACCAGTTAGCAGGCGAGCAGCAGCATTTTGAACCATCTGAAGACGATGGATGGAGGCCTGATCTAGACCATAACACAATGAATTGCAGTAGTCCAATCTGCAAGTAAGAAAAAGGCGAATAACACGCTCAAAGACGTTAGCTGGAAGGTATGGCTTTAACTTGGCTAGCTGTCTTAACTGAAAGAAGCAGGACTGAACTACTGCACTCACCTGCTTATTCAATTTAAAAGAACCATCAATGTAGACACCGAGGTTTTTTACATGTGTTTTACAATACGAGGAAAAGGCGCCCAGAGTGCTGTCGATATGATTAACGTTGCCAAAAATGACAACCTCAGTTTTATTTTCATTTAGCTTTAAAAAATTTAATGACAACCACTGTTTGACATCATCAAGGCAGCGTAATGAGAGCTGCGGATGGTCTGACCCTGCTTTTAAAGGTAGATAAATCTGCAAATCATCAGCAAAACAATGAAATGAAATGCTGTACCGCGAGAAGATTGAGCCCAATGGCAACAAATAGAGTGCGAACAGGGCAGGACCCAAAATAGAGCCTTGAGGTACACCGTATTTAAGAGGGGCTATTTTGGAGTTGTGGGGGCCCATATTGACATAAAAAAAAAACCTTTCTGACAAATAGGAACGAAACCACTGTAGGGCAGATCCTTTTAGGCCAGCATGAAATTCTAGCCGTGATAACAGGATGTCACGGTCGACCGTGTCAAAAGCTGCTGACAAGTCCAAAAATAAAAGGGCAGCAGGGCAGAGTTAAAAGAATATTGTTAAAAAACCTTAAAAGTGCCGTCTCAGTGCTATGTAGTGATTTAAAACCAGATTGAAATTTTTCAGAGATCATATTAAAATCAAGGTGGTCCTGCAACTGTAGGTAGACCACTTTCTCCAAGACTTTAGATAGAAAAGGAAGCTTTGAGATAGGCCTGTAGTTGGACAGAACAGCTGGGTCCAGGTTTTGTTTTTTAAGAAGAGGCTGAACTATTGCTTGTTTAAAGCATGATGGGACGTAGCCTGTAGCAAGGGACGTATTAATTAATCTCAGGATGAAAGGCCCAACAGTATTAAAAGTGCTTTTAAGCAAGCTCGGGGGGAGACAATCAGAGGGGCAGTGTGATGATCTTAGGTTACTAACTACCGCGGTCAAGTCCTTAAGGGAGACGGGATCAAACTGCTCTAAGACAGCTGAGCACACAGGAGAAGGACTCTGATCTGAGGCAGCAGACAACGAGACAAGGGCCCTAATCGATAGGATCTTGTCATTAAAAAAAAATGCTAAAACATCATCGCACATACTTGGTGAAGACGTGACTCCAGAATTATCACATAAACTAAGAAAGCGATTAAGAACGTTAAAAAGTACCTGAGGCCTGTGACTGTTTACTGACACTAAGTTTGAGACGAACTGTGTCTTTGCAGTTTTTACAGCTTCTTGGTGAGCAGAAAGACAAGTCCTTAAAATCTGTAGGGAAACATACAATCTGTCCTTTTTCCATCTCCTTTCAGCGCGTCTGTAGTCACGTCTGAGGGAGCGCGTATGTTCATTCAACCACGGCTCTGATAAATGCACAGTCCTGAGCGGAGCAATAGAGTCCAAGATATCAGTGCAGGTAGAAGGAAGAATGTCCGAAAGGTCCTCAACACTTTTACAGTTGGAGTTCATTATTCCAGAGTCCATAAAGGCAGCAGAAAAAGCAGGCGCTGTTAATACATTAAGCGCTCGCTTTTTGCGCGCTGGGACGTACGGCTTATCCATCGAGCAGCGCAGTGTTAGAATGAACAACACAGGAAGATGATCGGAGATGCGCAACTCGGATATTTCCGTGATGCACACATCCAACCCGTGGGAGAGCACCAAGTCCAGAGTGTGACCTTTTTCATGCGTGAGACCAGTAACCCACTGGGTCAAGTTAAAAGAGTCAATAATATTTAAAAAGTCCTTGACCAAAAGTTTAGAGTCACAGCAGACATGGATGTTAAAATCACCAAGGATTAAAAAACTGTCAAATTTAAGAACGATTCCAGCCATAAAACCTGAAAACTCTTTGATAAAATCCTTGTTAAACTTGGGAGGGCGATATATGAGGGCACACAGCAAAGGCGCAGCAAAATTCAGGTGTAACTCAAACAGCTGGTGTTCAAAACTAGAAAATGAGTCGTGCTGTAATGTTTGATGGCAATGAAATCGAGCGTTGAACACGGTGGCTAAGGCTCCCCCCCTACCAGAGGACTGAGGGAGGCTGAAGAATGAGAAATTAGGAGGGACCAGTTCCGAAAAAGCTACAGACTCACCGGGTTGAAGCCATGTTTCTGTCAGAAACAGAAAGTCCAGCTGTTGTGACTTTAGGAAGTCGTTTAATACAAACGTCTTGTTTGCTAATGATCTTACATTTAGTAAAGCCACGCAGAGCGAGGGCATTTTGGGATAAAATAGAGAAGGATAAGGCTAGCCAAGCCAAAGCAAAGCTAGCAGAGTTGACGGACGTGTCGCCATGCATACTGCTGGCGCCATCTTGGAAAAAGTTTAACCATTTGCTTATCTGAAACAGACTTTTCAATAAAGGTCTTTTTTCACCATTCTTTGATTATTTTTTTGGTCTGTTTCTTGGCACTGTACCAATCAGAATTGTTGTCTGAGGGCCAAGAAAAATGCCCAACAGATTTGTTTTCCCAAGTGGACCAGTACAGCTGTGCCATACTGGACCAAGAGAAAAGACACAATAAGTCTGCTACATTACCTGATGGGAAAGGAAGAAAACAAGCAAAAAGAGAACAACACAGTAGGGAGACCACAGCAACATCCTAGATAAGCAGAAGTAACTGTAAATCATACATTTTGAATGATACCGAGCACAATATGCTTAAAGGGAGCAGCCAAGGAAGATAGCGTGTGTCTGTGAACACCCGTGTGCGTGAGCGTGCCTGCATTCAAAAGGTTTCTCCATGAATGCTACTATCCATATCTGATAGTAGTTGTGGGGAGCCATAGCCCTGCCCCTCCAGGAAATGAAGCAGGCGTGAAGGATATCCAGGCCCAGACATCTAAAGGCCCCCCAGAACATAAGAGTCCAAGGAGGTCCACCGAAAGGGCGGATGCGCCACCCTCCTAGAAAAGAGCTGAGGAGAGCATCACCCTCACGACCGAGCCACCCGCACCAGGACCCGCCAAGCAGCCACTAGGAGTGAGACAGTACACACCCGAGCACCCAGCCCCAGACACCAAGAACTACAATGCACCAAGAGGTGAGGTCATCAGCCACCGGCAGGGAGTGTGGTGGGGGGAGATAGGTGGGGGCCCGAGATGTTCCCAGAGAGGAAGAGTCTAAGACCCAAAAAGACACATAAACATAGACAAACAGGTACACAGTCACAAACATGCATTCCCACCCTCATACACATATATAAATACATACTCTATACCCCAAGGTCCAGGTGCCATCCTCCCCAGAGTGGCAATCCGCCAACTCCTCCTCCCAGCTCCAAATGACAAACAGGGAAAGAAGGGGGTGTGAAGACCCCATACCTGACTCTGCCCGCTCATATGTGGTTTTGCTGCAATTTTATTGTTACATTCTTTAGCTCCTGTAATTATCTGGTGCTGTTTATAGCTCAAACAACATCATGGTGTAGAGATTGTATGTACTGACAGCTTCTTTGTGGATGAAACTGTGGTGCTATAATCCTAAAGCTATTTAAATGTGCGGTGCTTTTATGACTGATATTTTACAAAAAGTCTTCCTTTTGGTCAGGTGACAAGAAAAAATGCAACACTGCCAAAGTCTGAATGCTGGTATCAAACTGCTCTCACTACAGTATGTGTGAGTTTATGTTGACAGAGTATGTTTCTCCTCAACAAAGAGTCTGCTCTAAAGTAGAGATGGACTGATACCACTTTTTTATGTCCGATACCGATATCATAAATTTGGATATCTGCCGATACCGATATGAATCCGATATAGTGTTTTTTAATCAACAAAACTGTTTTTTAAATATCTTGCTGCATTTTGTATAAGTTCATACTCAAGTTTAAAACAACAACTACACTAAAGCTATTCTGTTATACCTGTATACAAAAAAAAAAAAATTTCATAGTTCAGCAATACTGATCAATGTAATAAACTTAGACCTACACCATCCTCCCTATTCTGGTATTTTAAAGAGTACTTAGCATAAATATTAAGCAACCTAACTAATAGGGTTCCAACTCCCAGCAACAACAAAAATAAATAAATAAAAAATAGGGAACCACCCCTCACGCTCCACCTCATGATGCTTAATCGACGTAATCAACCTTAATTTGATGCAGTGTGAAAAAAAATGCACAGAAATCAATTATTTTTCAAGAAATATTAAATAGATTCAACATCTTTCTTCAACAAAATTGCAGACTGCACAGATGGTACCTTCCCAAAGGAAAAAGTACTATAGCTTACTAGGGTATATATATTAGACTTAATAGTCACTATATACAGTAATTGACTTCTATTCATTTTGCATCAAATTAAAACTTTGGGTGTCGGATAATTAATTATTAAAAGCTAGACATTTTAAATGAGAATAAGAAAGAAAAGTATGTCTTTGTGCCCCTTTTCCCTGTTCATGCCGTATCGGCCCCCCTGGCTAAACCCTGCACAGTTACCAGCCGTCAGCTGCGTAGAAAAAGATCCTCGAGTAGAAAGTAATATTAAATACATTCTAACAACAGCTGATCAAGCTTAAACGTGCTGCTGTTGTTCAGCCGCTGGTTTCCTCTTTCTGGTGCAAAGTGGGCCAAAAGCAAACAACAGACACGGACTCGCGACAGAAAAGCCGATCAGCTGATCGTTAAGCAGTTTCATGATTGAAGTAGCAGCAAGAAGAGGCAGTCGCTTGTTAAGCTTAACGCAGGAATGCTTTACATTCAGAGATGGACTTACACACTTGCTTTACTTCTCTCGGGATAACTTTGTCGGAGATGAAATGCCGAGTTGCTAGCGAAGCTCCAAATGCTATCCAGACCACCGACAGGTCCCGCATGCCACAGCCGCTCTATCACGTGATGCATACTGCTCCGACGTGCTAACGTTCTGAGGCGAGTTACGGCGTGTTGCAAGTTTTGTGAGGTGCTTTCGTGATATTTAATAGATCGGATTACATTTTTTATTTTTCTCCGATATCCGATCCAGTCATTTAGGTCAGTATCGGACCGATACCGATACGTAATATCGGATCGGTCCATCTCTACTCTAAAGTCCTCTCCACCTCTGGAGACCATGCTACTAAGAGTTTTCTCATCAGATGTGACAGTGAATAAGAGTAAAGGTCCTTCTAATAACATCCGCACCCATCCCCAAAATGTGCCAACAGCTAGCTGATGTTACTGGTGCAGATGAAGCCACCTTGGTGGGCCTTATAACTGAATGGGACAAGATGGCCGTCAGGGACGAGGTGCAGCATCTGCCAGAGTGGAGTGCAAAGAACAACTTGTTCCTCATCACGAAGAAAACCAAGGTGGTCATTGCAGATGTCAGGATGAAGCAGAAGCACCCCCACCCCACAGAAACAACCACCTTCTGCTGCTAACACAACTTCAGCTCTTTGCAAGCACCTGCACAGACTGCATGCTGACACTAAGAACAAATGACTTTCTTCTAGGAGTAATTAATCAATGAACAGCATTACTTTAAAGAAAAGTGTTTTTTGTGTAACACATTATTTTTTAGTAATGAATCCAATACTGATCACAACAACGTGGAGAAACATCTCCAACACAGACGAACATTTAACCACACCATTCAATTAATTTGCACAAATACAATGTCTTTGATATGTTGCTTAGCAATGGTGGCAACTGTGTGAAAGTCACCTGTCACCTCACTACTAAAGCTAAGGAAAAGTGCAGACGCTATGGTAAGCATGTAGTGAAGAAGGTCAGGGGTGCTCGAGGGAACAGTTGGACCAACCTTGCAGCAGACTGCTAGAGTATTTGACTCCTTCTGAAAGCTCACTGAACCGGGGATGGGGTTCCTTCTTTGATCTGCAAACAGCATGTGAATGATAATGGCAGCACAGTGTTATTGTTATACAATATTGGAATACCATACAGTAGGGCACATTTATGTCAAATTACAACTTCCATAGCTCTCACTTAGAGGTTCCCACCTCTGATTCTACAAATATTTCTATTTAAAGGTTTACTTATTAACAAAGGTCTACAACACAGGTGCAGTGACATTATCTAGACAATTTACATGATCATGTATGTTCATTTTTGTGGCTGAGATGATCTTTTTTTTGAAAAACTGTCATCTTTCTCCACAAATTCCACAAAAAATTGGAGTTTTCTTTTAGTATGTCTGGATTGTTCACTAATTGGAAAGCTTGTGGTTTGAGCCTAGATACTTCTGGTCTGCATGTAAAGTGTCCTTGATACCGAAAGCCCAATATCCCCGACGCAGAGACCAGAAACTAGTCATCACACTGGCTGCAATTAATGCCTTGAAATCATCCGAGTTTTCCCATTTACTATTTCTTGCTTGCAGTAGTCTCACGTTCCTTCTAGCTGATGACAGACCTCACAACTAATCACTTAAGTAACTCAGTGCATCATGGGAAGTTCCCAGGAACCTAAACCTAGTGCTTCCTAACTAAGGGAGGATTCATGGTAACCTGATGCAGCCCTAACTATATGCAGTATCAAAAGGGAAAATTCTAAGCCTAATCTTAAAAGCAGCAAGGTGACTGTTTCCCGAATCCAACCTGGGAGCTGGTTCCACAGGAGAGGGGCCTAAAAGCTGAAGGCTCTGCCTCCCATACTGTTTTTAAATACTCCAGGAGCCACAGGTAAACCAGCAGTATCAGAGGAACTATTGTGGTGATATGGCACTATGAGGTCTTCAAAAAAAGATCAGGCCTTGTTACTTAAGACCTTGACTGTGAGGAGGATTTTGAATGTGATTCTGAATTTTAGCCAAGGAAAAGAAGCTGATATGGGAAAAATATCCTCTCAAGTCCAGGTTAGTGCTCTTATTACAGGATCAGCTCAAGGCTTTTCTAAAAATAGAGGCTGTCAAGGCCGCTGTGATTTAATGAGAGAGTCCTATCCTCATATTTTCACTGGTTTGCATCTTTTAGAAGCTGTTGAGCTACCCTTAACTTTGAGTCACATGACCTGTGCCTCTGTTGGCTAGCTTCTTGTTCACACCAAAAGATCCCAACTCAAGGAGAAATATTTGGGCACTTTATGCATAGAATCTGGCCAAGACATTCATTTAAAACTCCACCAACGTCACAAACACTCATACGGTCTGTTTATTGTGTTACCGGTTTGGTTAATCACTTTACCTGATAATGACACATGACATTTTCCAGCAAAATCCAGAAGTTTTATTGTTCTGCCCATCCACATAGTCCTCAAAGGTATCTGATGTAAGAGAGGGTCATTGTTGAGATCTCCAAGAGAGTTTGGCATGACTTAGTTATGCAATGAGCCTTACCCGGGACCCGACTGCACGATATAGACGGTCAATTTGGTCACAAGTCTGTTCCTCCCACACAATCCAGCTCATGGACATCTTGATTTTTGGGGCTGTTGGAGGAAATCATGTTGAAAGTTAGAAGACCAGTTTTTCATTCAGACAACTATATGTATCCAGCTCAGCGTTACGCACCAAATGTTGCACCAGTTTGTCCTTGTTCCCTTTGATTTTCCATTCTCTCAGACAGTGACATCAACGTGTTAATCAGCTGCAAAAGCACACACAAGCAATCATGTTACAGTCCTGCTGGTAAAAGGTAAAAAAAAATAACCATGATCTGCAACAGTTCTGAAAATGCTGACATTGTGCGAAAGTTGGTAAAAAAAAATTCATTTGCAAATCTCAAAACAGCGACACATGGAAAAGTTTCAGGACCTCGAGGACTGGAGTTCGAGACCCCTGATCTAATCAGTATCTAAAGGAGTATCTTAAGGAGGTAGTGTTTCTCTGAAGTAAAGCTGGGGCAGAGGTTCAATAATCTTTACCAAGGTTTGCTTGTTATCAGTTCAAAACCCTGCATCTCTGATGTTATGGGGGTGCATTAGTGCCTATGGAGCTGGCAGCTTGCACATCTGGAAATGCTCTAACAATGCTGAAAGGCGTATATAGGGTTTTGAAATAGAAGACTCCTGTTGCTGAACTGGCCTGCCTGCAGACCTTTCACCAGCTGAGAACATCTGGTATTGAGATGTTGCTGCCATAAAATTCAAAATGAGCTCATATTGTCCTTAAAATGGAAAATTTTCTCAATGTAAACATTTAATAGATTTTCACGTTCTATTGTAAATAGACTGGGTTTATGAGACTTTCGGATCACTACTTTTATTTACATTTTACATAACATCCCAACTTTTATGGAACTGGAGTTGTACGTTGCATGTTCTAACTCACGAGATGTGCTCCCATTGTGGCTAGAGTACCTCCCAGCTCATCAGCAGTACAATTCTCAGGGACCTGATAGAATTGCTGGTTGAGAATAGGCCCCACATCAAACCTGCAGGGTGATATTGAGCTCTGTTATGGTTGTTATCAGGAAAAAGAAAATACTCAGACATTTATCTGCTGTTTACCTGTGAGGTCGGATCTGGATGATGGAGACTCCTGTCACACTGTCACCATGCAAGATGGTGTGGAAGATAGGAGCTGGACCGCGCCATCTTGGCAGCAGGCTAGGGTGAACATTCAAAATCCCACTGAAAGAGAATGCAGTGTCTGTTTCTGTGGATTTATATACAGGTTCTGATCTCATGCCTTGTGTAGAACAGCTTCAGTGCTCCTTAGAGCACAGTCAAGCCCATAATTATTCGTACTCCTGCACATTTTGACTTAAAGTTACTTTTATTTAACCAACGAGTTCGCTTTTTTTGACCGGAAATGACATGGGCGTCAATGTTGCACAAGAGGTATCGTTGTGGGGAAAAAAATCTCAGCTTTGATTTAGATTTGAGCAAAAAGTGTTACGTTCAGAATTATTCATACCATTCTCAATAATCAATAGAAAAGCCTTTATTGGCTATTACATCAATCAAAAGCTTCCTATAATTGCAGACCAGCTTTTTTTGCACGTCTCCACGGGTATTTTCACCCATCTTTAGCAATGAGCTCCAACTCTTTCAGGTTGGAGGGTCTAAGACCCTTTAGCTCCCTGCACAGATTCTTAATTCAAGTCAGGACTCTGGCTGGGCCGCTGCGAAATGTTAATGTTTTTGTCTGCCAGCCATTTCTTCACCACTTTTGCTGTGTTTTGGGTCGTTGTCGTGCTGAAATGTTCGCCGGTGCCCAGGGCCAAGTTTCTCTGCAGACTGCCTGATGTTGTTGTGAAGAATCCTCATGTGTTGCTCTTTTTTTCATGGTGCCGTTCACTGTGATTACACTCCCTGGTCCATTGGCTGAAAAACATCCCCAAAGCATTAGGTTCCCACCACCATGTTTGACAGGAGGGGATGGTGTTCTCAAGGTTGGAGGCTTCTCCCTTTTTTTTTTTTTTTTTTTTTAAACACCTAATGAAGGAAACATCATTGTGATCAAATAATTCAATTTTTGATTCATTTGACCATAACACAGAAGACCAGAAATCTTCTTCCTTATCCAGATGAGCATTTGCAATTCTGGAGAATTGGCGTCCTCCTCAGTCTGCATCCGTGAAACCCAACAGTGTGCAGTATGCGTTGGACTGTCTGCCACCAACAGAGCCCAGATTCCCCAGGATGGCCTTAGTGGTGGACCTTGGATTCTTTTTCACCTCTTTCACTATCTTATCTGGCCAGCACAGGTGTGGCCATCTTGTATTTTTTTTAATAACACTTTATACTGTAGCCACTAGAACTTGAAAATATTTAGATAGGGCCTTGTATCCCTTTCCTTGTGAGCAGCCACAATGCACAGCCGGAGGTCCTCACTGAGCTTCTTTGTCTTAGCCATGACTGTCCATAAGCAACTGCAGAGAGCTGCTGCACACCCGATCTCGTCTGCTCTCGGAAGCTAGACAGGGTTGAGCTTGGTTAGTACTTGGATGGGAGACCGCCTGGGAGTACCAGGTGCTGTAAGCTTTCACCCCAACCGGTCGCAGCAGATAGCCGCCCCTCCCTGAGCCTGGTTTCTTCCTGTTAAAAGGGAGTTTTTACTTCCCACTGTCGCCAAAGTGCTTTCTCATAGGGGGTCATATGATTGTTGAGATTTCTTTTCCTCTGTATGTATTATTGTAGGGTCTACCTTACAATATAAAGCACCTTGAGGAGACTGTTGTTGTGATTTGGCGCTGTATAAATAAAATTGAATTGAATTTCGCCTGTTGATTTGGTTAAAAAAGATGTTCCCAATTAATCAGGGTCATTAGGATGCTTTAGAACAGCTTGGACTATTTGAAATGGTGATATAAATTTTTGGATTTTCCCAGAGACTGACAGTTTGTGAAGGGTATGAATCATTTTGGACATGACACTTTTTGATCAAATCTAAATGAAAGTGGAGAAATATTTTTTTCCCCCACAATGATACCTCTTGTACATCGTGTTATTATCTTTTGGGAGACGCCTGTGTCATTTCCAGTCCAAATACAAACGAAAACAACAACAACAAAAAACCTCGCTTGTTAAATAAAAGTAACTTCAAGTCAAAATGTGCCAGGGGTGTGAATAATTATGGGCTTGACTGTGCCTTAGAGCAGTGGTTCCCAAACTTATTTTGCTGGGCCCCCCTTTGTTTTACAAGAAAAATATTTGCGCCCCCCCCTCTTCCCGGCACGCACACACACATCCTCCAACCACACGCGCCCATATTTTGCTCCATTGCTGTTTATTTCACACCTCAAACATTTAGTAAACAGTTAAGCAAATACAAGTAAACAGCAATAAATTACAGGTAGTAATAAAATAAACTACTAACTCGTTTACGCTGCGTCCGCACCTACACGGGTGATTTTGAACACGCAGCTGTTTCGTCCACGTAAACGGCGTTTCGAATCTCCGAAAACGGAGATTTTTTAAAACTCCTTTTTTGCGTTTCCGTGTGGACGAGGAATACAGAGTTGGTCACGCAGCGTCAAAGGTATGCGCCTTTATTCACGTCACGCTGTGGCCACGTTATTGTTTACATGAGATGAATTGCAGAATGATAGAGACGAAATACTGTTAATCTGACTGTCTGCAGGTTTTATACGCAGTTACTGTCCCTCCATTTACAAAGGCAGAGGCGTCACGGTGTCATTATTTTATGTGTTGTTGTTTTTCCTGTGTAATAATGTTCAACATTGTTATCAATACATTTTTAAAAAAAAAAACGCCTCTCTGTGCAAAATGTGTTCAAAAACATAAACAGCTGTGGGATCCTGTTTGTCTGTGATTTGAACCGAGGGAACAAATCGTGGCAGGATCAGCCTGATGTTATTTGCATCCTGCTGTAACTTTACTGTATAAAGAGCAAACATCTCCAACATGTCAGGAGCAGTTAGTCATTATGAGAAGTGTTTGAACTAAAAATCAAGAATGTGGGATCCTGTTAGTCCCTGATTTAAACAGCCCAGCGCTGCTCCCGATGCAGGGGAAACCAACCCTGCAGGGAGACCTACCTCTGCACCTGTGCAGGTGAAGCCAAAGGGCAGATTTGCTTCACCAGATTTTCTAGTCTTTGTCTTAGAATGAAGTTGGTTTGGAAACATATTCAGCGATGCTTCATCTCCTGCTTTGCGTTTGTGTGGGCGCCCCGTGCTATCAGTGTCCAAGCGTTATTGTTCCCCCCCCCTTTTCATACCGCGCCCCCCCTGCAATGGCTCTGTGCCCCCCCCAGGGGGCGGGTCCCACACTCTGGGAAGGACTGCCTTAGAGAGACTTAAAACTCAAACTCTCTTAAACTCTAATGACACCATTCATCTAGATCAGCCATCCCCCCCCCCCCCCCCCCCCCAAAAAAAAAAAACAACCCAGGGGACCTATCCAATCTTAAATCTTCACTCTAATCAAAATACAAGAGAAAGTCATATATTTCCTTGATTTTGGGGGGTATCACTAATCTAGATATTCATTCATTTTCTCTTTGTGGATGTCAGCAGAAAGTGCTAATTGGACCTCTCAGTGACAGGGCCAAGGGTTCAGCCTTTTCTTTTAATTTGTCACCCATCATATGTACACTGTATTTATGTGTCTCTCCACAGTATCACCTATTTTGTTTTATTTTCTCTTCCCAGTGCATTTGCATGAGTTTACTGAGATGTTAAATGGATTCTTAAAACAGAAAAGAAAAATCTGATTACAACAATTAACCCACCCTTGAAAGACCCAGGGTGAGAGCTATAAGAGGCAGCCCTGGGTACTGAGGACATTGTCACAACATTTCAGAGACCGTGAGATCATAGTCAAACCACAGCACGGCACCAGTCCCCAGGTTTTAACGATTAGTTGATCAACGATAAATGCTCACTATGGAAACTTGCTGATTAGTCTCTCAGGAAGTAGGCAGCCAAAAGACACGACCACACCAACATCAAACCGTCCATTCACATCATCAGGGGGCCAACTGTGTAGCGGAAGGTGGTTCTCTTGAGCAAACCTCTTCACTGGAACATCACCAGCCAAGGTAACAACTTCAAGGGTCTCCACTATCCCTTCACTGGTGCCCCTACAACACAAAAGGAAGGGTTAAGTATAAAAAAAACAAACTAATAACTGTAGCACCCCAGCAGTGTATTCAACTCTCTAGGACAAAAATATGTTTTAAAGTCAATACCAGATACTAAAGGCTCTATTTTACCAGGAAATCAAAGTGGAAAATAGAGCATTAAACTGATTGTATTCATTTCCTCACTTTTATTGACTTTGTGTTTGTGAACAATGTATGCAGTGAGATTTCTGATCATGGAGTCTGGAATTAAACTACAACACAGTTCTGTGTCAATGAAGCCCTCATCTATTTCCTGCAAGCTAACGATTCTTTTAGTAATCTATTCCATCAATTAGTACTTGTGTCTTATTAATGAGCATTGATAAATATTCAAAAGAGAAAAAATAAAGATCTTTCAAGTGCTCATTAGTTTCCGTTTTAGAAAGTGGAATGTTTTTTGTTCCATTTGTCAAAAAATAACCAAGCCCACTGATTGTATGTAAAGACAAACATTTCTTAAATGCAAAATTATATAAATACACTAAAGTACAGTCTAAGATCAAAGTCAAATAACATAAAATATGTATGCAATCTAAATTAAGGCATAAAAAATTACCTTCACTCTGTCTTTCAGGGTTTTGTAAGAGTTTTACTCGCCCATGTAGATTTTATTCACACACTTCTCCTAAATAAGTTTCTATTGCAGGTCTGTTTTTAGTCACAAAAGTGTGCAATGTCTTGTTTTCATGGTGACAATGGCGCAGTACAGAGCCGTGCATTAAGCGAAGAATGTGTCCAGAGTTTTTATAATTGAATTATTGTAAATACTCAATGAATAGTTGCAGCCCTGCCCTCTCTAAATGTTTAAATGTACATAGGACACTGGAATTGCACATACAGATAAAGCCAGCAAGAACTGCTGCCTGGTCCTCCCTGTGGGATGTGTCAACTATTACGAAGCCACTATCATTCAGTTACAGAGTATTACCAAGAGGTGGCGCTTTTCTCACAAGAACTTTGACTTGTTTGAAAGTGATAATAGTATTTTAGTATTTTATGCAAGGACTGTTTCTCACAGAAGTTCACAGAAAAGCTCCATTTGTATGTAACCTGTGTGTTTATGTACACTCACTGATCAATGAGTATGATACAAATACTGAACTTCACCACTCAACCACTGACATTGCTACAATTCAGTGAATGTACACTTGTAGTTCAAGACAACGTGCTGAAATTAAAAGTGAGCAAAGGGCAATGCATTGGGAAAGAAAGTGACTTTGATTGTTGGTGCCACAGGAGCAAATCTGAGGATTTTTTTTAAAAAACTGATCAGCTACTGAGATTTGAAGACAACTGTCTGAAACAGGAAACACATCCTCTCCCGTTCATACGGCAGGTAAATAAATAATCAACTAACAGTGCATATTATGTTAGTGCGATCTGCCTTATTACAAACCTGCTATTACTGTGCATTTAGATAACCACAATCAGAGACACAGACAGAGTCTGGCTCAGATGCTGGCAGTCCTCGCTGCAGTCTACCGGTAGCGTCTCCTTTCAGGCCAGACGAATGTCACCGAGCAGTGACTACGTTTGTGGTCAAAGGCTTGCACCCATTTGCCACAGCAGATGATTTTCGATAAGTGAATGTGTTTAATTGTAGGCAGGGACATTACTGGATATTCTTGTGTAATTGCTACAGAATAATTTATGTTATACTTTGTTATTGCTACAGAAGAATATTGATTTTATTATTTTACATTTACAATTTTTTTGTAAACAGATGAACCAGAACTGGTTTGTAAAAATGCTGCAACTTCAGTGGTGTGGAACTGGTTTAGCTTTCCTCCGTCAGACACACAACAAAGCACTATTTTTGGTAGAGCATGCTAGTGGGCCGTCGTTATTACCGTGTTGTTTGGAAAATACGGCGCACTTAAATCAATCCTTTGATTTTTCTGAAATTCGACAGAGCCCCTTATAATCCCGTGTGACTTATGTATGAACTCTGGTTGTGTTTGCACTGCATAACACAGAAACTGTAGTCCATTACGGTGTAAAACATGCTAGAGATGACTTATGTTCACTCTGAAACGCCAAGTCTGCTACTGATCTCAGTAAATGTAAAAGAGCCGTTTCCTTGGTTGTGCCAAAGGTGATTTCAGATGTGTGTTTTCTGTTTAATATCTTTGCTTATATTCTTAAAAAGTCAGCAGTCAATAGGATTTACAAAGAGTTTACATTAAAAATAAATAAATTACCTGAGGTATTGCATACCCTGTTTTCTACGTTATAATCTATCTGGTCATTTTTTAATGTCAATAAGAGTTTTACAGTCATACATAAATGATACATAAACGTTGTTTTGCAAAAAGCTGACGATCACTTTGTGGCACAACACAGTTCCTGTCTGTAAATTTAGAGATGTGGATATAAAAAAAAAAAAAAGCTGAAAAAAATCTTCACAGGCCATTTTCTTCAGAATCTACTGCATTTATTATTTAATAAAACTGACGGCACTCTGTGCTAATACATTTGGAGCTTATTTCGTATTACATTTTAAGTTAAATAGCACGTTAGGCAAGAGGACGATTTCTGGCAGGTTAAACTGCTGTGTCTGAAGAGGAAACAATTTCAGCAAATTAATTAAGATTAATTTCAATAAAAAAAATACATTACAATATTATTGCAAACTATTGCAATAATATTGCAAAAAAAAAAAATCCTCCTCTGTGTGTATGATATGTGACATGATATGTAACACGTTGCAGTGTGAAACCCTGTGTGCACGCCTGTAAGCGGCTTGTGTGGGACACGCACCTGCAGGATGTGAGAAGTTTGAGAGATTCCACAGCGAAGTGATCAGTGCCAAAAAACAGGAGCCTCCATTTGGGTTTTGATGCCGATGACAGGACTCTACATAGCTGTCGCTGCCCGCGGTCAGTGTCGCCCCTCCATACTGTCCCCATACAGCAACGCTGACAGCGCTTCAGCGATTCCACAGAAGCTCTTATTGTCTTGGCGCTCGTCCACATACTGAAAGCAGCGTCGGCTCAAAGTGTCAAGTTCACAGAATGAAAAACTTCCTCAGTTTGTCGCCGTTTTGACCCACAGGAAGCCGCCATATTTGTTTCTTCTTCTTCGACTTCCTCCTCTTCTTCTTTATAATATTTATTGGCGGTTGACAAACAGCAAAATGGTGCACTACCGCCACCAACTGGTGTGGAGTGTGGACCGAAACGTCCACAAAAGGATAAAAAAACAAACAAACATTCAAATCCTTCCAAACAAATTAGTCCGCCTTAACCCTATAATGCCCTCTGTGTCATATTTGATACACGAGTTTCTGAGACCTCCATCTCATCAACATGATCAATACTTGCCATAATTTGTCCATAAAATGTTATGGACAAAACTCTTTGTTTTTGTCTAAAATTAACATTGTTGCTAACAAAAAGTTGCCAAAACGCCCAATGTATCAAATGCAAAACAAAAAATATATAATAAAAACATATTATACACAACATGATATACCAAAGAAAAAGTGGATTTTGTTATTAGGATTATTAAACATCTCAGTTAAAAAAGAAAAAAGAATTTCTGGCTATTTTTGATGGGTTGGGTCTTACAGGGTTAAAAAACAAAATATGGCCTGATAACTTTCACTTCTCAAGTTCTTATGAAATAAATCAACTAAGTCCAGTTTCACTTTCATATCACCAAGCTTTTTGATCAATTGTCTTCTTTCAGCATCATATTTCTGACAGTGCATTAAAACACGTTCTATTGTTTCTTCTTCTTTATTGCAGTCACACTGTCCTGTATGGTGTTTTTCTATTAAAAGCAACATACTATTCAATCCAGTGTAGCCTTGATATTTAGGCATTTCGCTAGCGCTTCTGAGGAGTGAGTATAAAGGGAGTAAAGTTTTTTAACTGTCAGGTAATTTCAAATGCAACATCTCTATTAGGTAACAGACATCAGCTAACATACAACTGTGTGTGCAGTTTATCACACAATGTGTTGCCAGCTAAATGTCCAGCTACTGTATTTAGGGAGAGAAAAAAATGTGGAATAGCTTTTCTCAGAGGAGGAGAAAGACAGCATCTCAGAAAGACGGGACAGGAGAGGTAGAGGTGCAATTAGATTTAAAGGTAGTTCATTTTTAATCACATACTGGATCTGTGTATGATGTGTTTTGATAAATTATGTATTTTCATATCGGGAAACATCCTGCAAAACAATGTTGCGTTATTAAAATGTTGCATGAAAATATTCAGTAGTTTAGTAGATGATAAATTGGTTAGCTGGTAGTACTGTGGTGATTTCACAGTAGGGCACTGTGTTGGACTGTGGCTGTGATGCTCATGGTCAGTGTTGGGTCACATCAAGTGTCGTAGATTAATTTGTAGTTAAGCTGACGATGCTTAGATTCATTCATTGAATTCCACCTTCATGCTAACTGCATAGGTCTAGTATAAAGAAAATATCCACTATACTGAAAATGTAGGAAATGGAAATCAGCCAAGATATCTTGTGAAACATCTGGTGACTTAAAGACCTGACTGTTCACATATTCCTGTTTAGGTGTGGAGGCAAAGTCACCCTCTACCAGGTGGGCAACAGAAAATAGTTCATTTTTACATGTCTTTGTCACTACATGTGTCCTACATAACAAGCTGAGCAGATTCGTTAGAATTTCAAATGGAATAACATTTTTATTCTCGTGTATTACTATTAAAATATTAAAATAGCACACGATTAATTTTCCTCTGTGTAAAAATAGATGGTAGACTCGTCCTTCAAGGAGCAACTTTTTACTTTTGAGTACATTTCAGAGCCTGTATTTTTTAACCTTTACTTGAGAAAAGAAGCTGAATCAGTACTTCAGCTTTTAGTAATTTTTAACACAAGTATCTGTAAATACAGAATGTCTGTACTATTGTCACCTGTGCTGTAAATGTTCATTGTTCACCTTAAATGAAAGGGCTTTGGTCACGTTTACGTATACGTACGTAACTGTTACATGTTACGTAAGTACGCACTGAGTTCCGCCAGATCGAGGGGTGCGCAGTCGAGCGACACAAGGTCGTTACTGCAGCGGTTAAACATGATGTCTATAGCTGCCCGCTCAGGGGTGTTTTCCCCTTACATGCAGGCCACCGCTTTCGCAGTTGCGGGGCCTCTGAAAGCTCTTGTACCCGGGGTTGTTGTAAAGGGAGAGAATATTCTGTTGAACCCGAAGAAACAGTTTTTGTGTCGCGAGTCGCTAAACGGTCAAAGCCCAAAGACAGGCCCTGCTGTGACAGTTAGCATCAATGGTAAGTTGTCATTGAATTTTAGCATTATCTGAACTGGTAATGTTAGCCTTTTGTTTAGAAAAAGCACATTTAACTTTAACGTCGGATCCCGCGGACTGTCTATATCCTGATATATTTGTCAGTAGGAGGTTTTCCCTCTTACGTTTATACAGTCGGCTGCTGTTAGCTTTCTTATACAGGCAGTTAGCCTTTGGGGCTAAAAGGAGGCTACAGCTGACGTGAGCGTTACGTTAGTGTTAGATAATCAGGACTGACGACATCATCTCAGGGCTCTAAATATCTGATACAAAACCTTTTTTAGAGGCTCTGTTAAGTACCGCAGTGTGCGTGGCGTGAGCGTTGTTGGGGTCCGTTCAGTGCCACCCAGTATGCGATACGTCTCCTGCTCTGTATGTGCGTTTCTCCTCTTAGGTCGCAGACAAAACTCCAGACACAGGAACTTATCGTTGCACTAAATCAAGTAATCGTATTTTTTTTGCTCCATACCTGACTACCAGCCCTGGGACTACTAATTTGAAGAGTGTAGTTCTAATACATAGTACAGCATGTTTTTACATGAGGCTCACCTGTCTGTTCCCTACTCTTCACTGTGCTCTCCACATAGAAAAGTTGAGCGGTTGGGTTTTCCCCCTCTGGTAACAGTCAGTTGAAGTGATAAGAAGGTAGCACTGTCTAAACTTGCTCTTCACTCTGAGCTTACTTGACCCAAGGACTCAAAGGTCTATCTGCCCAATTTGAAGTCAAAGCTAAACTGACAAGAAGCGCAGAGGCTTATAAAATCATCTCATTTTATAGCCATCTAAAGTAACATGAGTAGAATTAAGTAGTAATAATATGCTAATAATAATCAGGCGACGAGTCACCACCAAAAGTAATAGCACACCATCCCAATTGAGCTGCTCGAAATGATATAAGTTGTGGGGATTGTGTCAAAGCTGCGAGGCGAGTGTCACAGCAAAGATAAGATAAGATAGAACTTTATTAATCCCTCGGGTGGGTTCCTCTGGGAAATTCGATTTCCAAAAAGCACAGCACCGACAGAAGTTACAGAGTTACAGAATATTATATATATACACACACACACACACACACACACACACACACACACACACATATATAAATGAAGAGACAAATATAAATAAAATATACAAAGGGGATAAATAGAATAAATAGGAATAAAAATAAAAATACAAGTGAATTGCACATTTCAAGTATGAAATGTGAGGCTGAAGATGGAGAATAAGAATAAATCTGACGAATAATAAGTGTGCTCTTGCATTGGCACTCATAAATGTCACGTGCTTTTGTAGTGTAGGTGATCAGATGTATTTTGAGTGATTTTTTTTAACCTTGCAGCCTTGTAACTTCTGAATTATATTGAATGTTACTGCCTTATCCTTGTTAGTAAGAATATCAAAATCGTGTTTGTGTTTCACATGTGTTTCTTAAATAAACATTTTTATATTTGCAGAAGTTGCATTTTAAAGGAAACAAACAAACCAATAAATGCAGTATACTACTTAATTTAGACAAAGGATCCACTAATTTAAAGCTGGAAACTTTAAAGCCCAGTTGCATTTTTTTCAAGCTGTTGAGGCTAAGAAAAAAACTGTGTAACTCTTTGTTTGCAGTAGAGGTGGTCTGCTATCATATTATCTGTTTCATCAATTATATCCAGCCAGTCACTGGAGAACAAATGTTTTCAGATGTGTTTGGTGCAGCACATGTATGCCAAGGAAAAACATGATAATAAAGACGCTACTTTCTTTCTGAATGTCTCACCCTGATGTGTAAGCTGAAGCTTCCTGGCCACCGTCAGGGAGTCAGTCTTCCTCTTTAACTGCTGGGCAAAAGCTGGTAAGGACACTGTTGTGATGGTCCTTGAACTCGTTCGCAGCTCACTGGAGAGGCAGATCTGTTTAGAAAATCATTTAGTAGTCTCTAGTTTCGTTTAATTTGCTTTGAATTAATAGTTTGGGCACCATTCATTGGTGATGAATCTTTACTCTATTTAATCCCAGTAGTCTAACTTCCAGCTACTGTTTTTGCAGGATCTGCAGGAGTCAGATTTGCTCATACAGACATCAGAGTACCAGACTTTTCTGACTACAGGCGTCCAGAGGTGCTTGACCCCAGCAAGTCATCTCAGGACAGCAGTGAATCCAGGAGAACCTTCTCTTACCTGGTTACTGGGGCGACAGCGGTGGTGAGCGTCTACGCTGCCAAGACGGTGGTCACTCAGTTTGTTTCTTCCATGAGTGCCTCAGCTGATGTCTTGGCTATGTCCAAGATAGAAATCAAACTGAGTGACATCCCTGAAGGCAAGAACATGACTTTCAAGTGGCGAGGCAAACCACTGTTTGTTCGTCACCGCACAGAGAAGGAAATTGCTACCGAGGCTGCTGTCAGCCTCACAGAGCTGCGAGACCCTCAGCATGATAAGGACAGAGTCATCAACCCCAGCTGGGTCATCGTGCTGGGAGTGTGCACACATCTGGGATGTGTACCCATCGCCAATGCCGGCGAATACGGTGGCTACTATTGCCCCTGCCACGGCTCGCACTATGATGCCTCTGGCCGCATCAGGAAAGGCCCCGCCCCCCTCAACCTGGAGGTACCTTACTACGAGTTTCCAGATGACAACACAGTGATTGTGGGATAAATGGCACTCACAGGACTGAGATGGCTTTGTACTTCAGTTGTCAGTCCATCACAAATGTATTCAGGTGCATTCTGCTGTGTTAGTGAGAAGATGTTGAGGTGTTCGAAGGGTTTAGATCCTTTCAACAGCTCACTCGAACATGAGAGCACCTCTGCTTTGTTTTATATAATGCCATAAAGGCACATTACACG